TTGCACTTAAACGCAGGAAGGGAGCAATTAAATTACACGCGCTCCTTCTTAGCCGAGGGCAATTATTATAATTACCAGAAAGTGCAATCAAAAATACAAACGCAAACAAAAATATAACGTAGAAATAGGCAGAAAACGAAATATTCCTTCCTAGCAGCAAGTAATAATTCCAACAGCAGATCTATAAACAAGTATTATGCAGGACACTCACGTGCAGCCGTCTGTCTCTTCTGTTGACTAATCGCTTGACACCACCATTCAACGCCGAGTATTGTTTGCGTTTATCTCTCTCCTAGTGGTAACATATTACGGAGCCAGTTTCCTGCCCTAGTTTCTAGTCCTTAGTTCCTAGTCATAGTCTTGTCTTGCCTGCTTTCCCGTGTTACCTGATTTTTGCCCGTTTATCTTGGATTAACTCTTTGCCTGCTGTTTCGGACTGTGTTTGCACCTCGCCTGGACTACTGCTCGTGTTATTGGATTTCTCTCGTCAAGCCCTCTGGATAACGTTCGCTGTCGACTGACTCACACCCGGTTTGGATTACTCTTTTGTCTTGCCATCAATATACCTGTTTGCCATTGTCAGAACCTTGCCTGTTTTTATGACCACACCTTTAAATAAAAGCTTTACAGATGGATCCGCACGTCTCACGTCTCGTTCGCCCTGTAACAGTATTGGGGCAAATATTTGCTAGTCCCCATCATACCTGATTTCACCAGTAGCCTAGATTAGATTTAAATAAGTGCATTATTTTACTGGATATGCACTTTTTATATATTTCTAGTGAATGCTGTTACTAATAAAACAGTTGGTAAATAGTACAAACATGAAATAATTTGACTGATTGCATAATGAATTATGAGTGTTTCTATGCTGGTGCACCCACTGATATAAAACACGGTTTCAGCAATTATGCACAAAAGTATTTACAGGCTTACTGTCACTGACACTAATTACATAAATACATCATGATTATTGCTGGGTTTTCTCTGCAAAACAACACAAATGCTGCAATTATCACCACAATTTTTGAGAATAGCATGCAGCTGATACAGTCTCATGATTTTTATGTTGATCCATACACAGCACACATATACATTTCTGATCAGTGCGACAGAAAACCTCAAGGAGCTTCTCATGTTTCTGGCAGATCATCTCCTGCAGTCGTCCAGTGGCTTCAATCACTTTGTGTGGCTTACATGAATGAAACTCCTCATGATGGGCAAAATTATTCTGACAATAAGATTCCTGACACATCAGACAGGACTTGACGGCTCTGAGATCAAACTAAACCCTGTGGGAAAGTGACTCTCCTGGAATAGGAATGGGAAACCCTGATGATGAAATGTCTACTATTAATTTTTTTATGACTTTGAATAAATGTATATATTTATTTGCATTCATGTCCAACCGTTTAGTCACTGCTTAGCCAGTCGCTATTGAGCTACAAATGTAGGCCTATAATGTGTTCCTTACCTCTGTCCCCGCAAGCATAAAGTAAGATCTGGAGGAGTGTTGTGAAAACAAAGCTTTATTACCACAGAATTGAGACACAATGTTGAAACAATATTGAATATCTGCTGAACTCAAGCACATCTGTGCTCATTAAATGAGCAGCTCTGTACAACATTCTGCTCTCGTTTACAGACATTTCATAATGTACAATCCAAGCATAATACAGTGGTCTTGGTTAAAGCCAATAAATAATATTAATGTACCTTATTCAACAATGAATGAACATATGGCCAAACTGATCAATGTAATGTACACAGTTTGTGTATTGCAAAGGTGTTTATTTCATATTTACATCAGAGCTGTAGTTTTTAGTTCTCGAGCACACTTCTGATCTCCTCATGTTCTCACTGCACGTCTTTTCAATTCACTCTCATAAACTGTGACTGATATAATGAATGTGTTGCGGATATGCATGGAGACTTAATTATAGACTTATTTTAATTGTCTGAGAAATGTTACTGCACACAGTTAAAGTATTTAATGTAGAAAGTGCTGCTACTCTTCAGCATGTAGATGTTCAAGCAAATGTGTCCCTGGAGCACAAAAGCAGTGTTAAGTCGCTGGGGTATATTTGTAGCAATAGCCAACAATACATTGTATGGGTCACAATTATTGATTTTTCTTTAATGCCAAAAATCATTAGGATATTAAGTAAAGATCATGTTCTATGAAGATATTTTGTAAATTTCCTACCGTAAATATATCAAAACTTAATTTTTGATTAGTAATATGCATTGCTAAGAACTTCATTTGGACAACTTTAAAGATGATTTTCTCAATATTTAGATTTTTTTGCACCCTCAGATTCCAGATTTTCAAATAGTTGTATCTCAGACAAATATTGTCCTATCCTAACAAACCATACATCAATGGAAAGCTTATTTATGCATATAAATAATAACGAATAATCAGTTTATCTCCTCACTAGGATAAGTTCTGGAGACAGTTTCTCCTGTGCGACAGCAGAGCGCTGGAGGTGATGAAGCTCCGTCCACACAGCGGGCAGCGGTGTGGTTTCTCTCCGCTGTGAACTCTCTCGTGTATCTTCAGGTTCCCCGACTGACTGAAACTCTTGTCGCAGTGCGAGCACTTGTAGGGTTTCTCTCCCGAATGGACTTTCTGGTGTTCCTTCAGATATTTGGCTCTGGAGAAGCTGTTCCCGCACACCGAGCACACGTGAGCTTTCTCTCCGGTGTGGATCTTCTGGTGCTCCTTCAGGTAACCCAGCTGTGAAAACATCTTTCCACAGAAGGAGCACAGGAAGAGCTTCTGGTGGATTTTCTGGTGTATCTTCAGGTGCTTTGCTGAGATGAAGCTCTTTCCGCACCGATCGCAGCTGAAGGGTCGTTCTCCAGAGTGCGAGTGCTGGCGGTTTCTGAGGATCGTAGCCTGTGTGAAGCTCTTCCCGCACTCGTGGCACGTGAAAGGCCTCTCTCCAGAGTGAATCCGCATGTGGTTCTTGACGTGTCCCTTGCGGATGAAGCTCTTGTCACACAGGAGGCAGGTGAAGGGCTTCTCTCCCGTGTGGATCCGGATGTGGTTCTCGAGACTCTGCTTGCGTGTGAAGCTCTTGGAGCAGTGCGAGCAGCTGAAGGGCTTCTCTCCGCTGTGAGTCTGCAGGTGTCTCTTCAGGTCTGCGTTCTTGAAGAAGCTGCTGCCGCACTGCAGACAGCTGAAGTTTCTCTCTCCGCTGTGGACTCTGATGTGGCTGTTGAGGTTGACTTTGAGCGTGAAACTCTTCCCGCACTGAGCGCAGATGAACGGAGATTTCTTGGCTCCTGTTCTCTTCTGGGAGAAATCATCTTCAGTCTGTGTTTGTTCTGCAGTTATGATCTTCTGATGATCTTCATTCACTTCTTCACTTTCCACCTTCACTTCCAGCAGATCTAAAACCAGTTCAGACAATGAGGTCAAATAAGAAACTAAATGATCTGTAATTTCTCGGCAGATGAACACATGATCTGATGCTGGACACAAACCAATGACAACAGTCATGTTATAATTAATGTACTTAATGAAGTACAATCACTAATGATATTTAGAGGTCTACAGTAGCGATTCAGGTATTCACACTATAAACGTTCAGTATGGATGCATGTGTGTAGTGTTGATTTATCCTTACCTGCTTTACATCTTACTATCAGTGATGTACTATTACAGTGTTTAATAAAAAATTTAATTTTAAAATTTTAGTTTATTTTGTTTTTGTCTTTTTCCACTGCTGTTTTTAAAACATACTATTTCAAACCCGAGGTACATACAGAAACATTATTTTTTCTTTTCTTTGTATCATTTTGTATCGTTACATCCCTACCCAAGAACCTGAGAAAATAGTAAAACTAATGTGATTATTATTAGTTGAAAAAAAAAACATTATTATTTAACAGCTCATATGATTTTCCCCACACACACATCAGTCATTAATGAAGAGTCGAGAACCTCTCTGTTCATCATTATCTTCATCTTCCTCTCTGTGTGTTTCTTCATCACTCACATCTTCGCTCTCCTCTTTAACAAACTCCATCTTCACAGTAACTCGAATCGGTCATTTATCTGTTGGAGCAGATATACATAGAGCAGAAAGACATTATTAGTATTTAGTGAATTCATCATATCATCACTCATGAATATTAAATATGTAAATGAAGTAAGAGGATTTCCAGTTAACCTGTTTGTGTGAGTATTAAAATAAAACACCCTGCTGACAACTTTCTGATACAGACAACAGACGACTGAAGCGATTCTGTTTCTGTCATGTTTCACCGCTCTCTGTTCTTACTGTATTAGTTTTTTTCAGCTGCTTGCACACAGCATCTTCACTTGTCACACAGTTTCTGAAAGCTGACACTCAAACAGCAGAAGCACACACCAAATCTGCAAAACCATACACTAATCTCAGCCTTTGACTCAGTTTTCAATTTCATAAAACACTTTTTGCAAAACACAACACACAAAAATCTAACAGGAATTAATATTATGGCAAAGGTGTTTGCAAATGTTTGCTTTTGAGATGTGTTTGTGATATTTTGAATGCAGCGCTTCATTTTGCAAGAGATGCGAGGCATTTTGCTTTTTGTGCGCAATTCTTGGATTTGTGTGTAAAGTTATGAAATAAAGAGGCAAGGTTTTGAAAATGTGTATGAGTAGTTGAAAAAAAACTGTAAGACTTTCAGTAATATTTCTTGCTATTATAATAACTTATATTTTCAGCATATTGTAAAATTGTTTCTTTTTTCAAATCTTGTCAAGTTTTTATTAATTAAAATGAATATGTAAAACTCTGCTCCTCACATTTTTGTAGTTGATAATGATTCATACTGTAGCTTAGGCTATACAGTATATGTTACTTCTATGTTCTATAAAAATAAAAAAAAATAAAAAACATGTCATTTTAGCCTATATGTACTATCACTGTATAACCTGATATTATGATTCTCTCTTGCTTGTTATTACTGTCGCTGTCACACATATGTCAGTGGAATTAATAATAACTCTATCAGGGTTTATGTGATCAGATCGCCAGAAACTGAAGATCTGTGAGGGATTTTATTAGTGAACTTAAGTGTTGTTTGTACTGCACTGCCCCGACTAAAAACACCAAATACATTCATACCTGTCGTGTTTATGGACTTTATTTGTGCTGAAAATGACCACATGCATGTTAAGTATTTCTCAGTTTCTGTCTGCTCATTCTCTCTCTTCAGCACTGGTGACAGAAGCAGATGTTTTAGAGGAGAAAGCATGACAATCAGTCTAGTGCTGGTGTCACTGCGCTTTATATCAGCTGCTGTTGATCATTAACAGACTGTAAGACAGGGAAACAGTAACAGACTGCAAGACTGGGAAACAGTAACAGACTGTAACGACTGGGAAACAGTAACAGACTGTAACGACTGGGAAACAGTAACAGACTGTAACGACTGGGAAACAGTAACAGACTGTAACGACTGGGAAACAGTAACAGACTGTAACGACTGGGAAACAGTAACAGACTGTAACGACTGGGAAACAGTAACAGACTGTAACGACTGGGAAACAGTAACAGACTGTAACGACAGGGAAACAGTAACAGACTGTAACGACAGGGAAACAGTAACAGACTGTAACGACAGGGAAACAGTAACAGACTGTAACGACAGGGAAACAGTAACAGACTGTAACGACAGGGAAACAGTAACAGACTGTAACGACAGGGAAACAGTAACAGACTGTAACGACAGGGAAACAGTAACAGACTGTAACGACTGGGAAACAGTAACAGACTGTAACGACAGGGAAACAGTAACAGACTGTAACGACTGGGAAACAGTAACAGACTGTAACGACTGGGAAACAAGTAACAGACTGTAACACAGGGAAACAGTAACAGACTGTAACGACTGGGAAACAGTAACAGACTGTAACGACTGGGAAACAGTAACAGACTGTAACGACTGGGAAACAGTAATTGTGTTACCGTGATGCTCCGCTAATGCGCCCGTTCAGTTCAATGGCCGCTGCTCTGCTATTTTTTGCTAAATAAACACGTTTTATGTTTTCACATTTGCTCATAGCTACTGTTACAGATATACAATCAGCCTCATAACAGCAGAAACCACTAGCAATGCACAAAAACTGTCACAATAGACTGCAACAGTAAGTTCAGAAGCACGGCAATTGAAAGTCCAGACACTTCTCCATTCTCCGTCCTCCAGCTGTTGATGTTGAGTGCCATACTTAAATAGCATCGCTGTCAGCAGGTTTACATCACTTGCGAATGCAACCCAGAAAATTGATTTCTCGGGGTATCAACCTGGTGGCTAGTTCCTATAATTGAGTTCCCATTACTACTCGGTTTGAAAGCCCCTAAAGACACCTGAGCAGCTCATTAAGGTCTTTAGAGTTACTAGAGCAGCGGCTCTGGAGCACATCACTGACATTTCAACACACATTTCAGATCTCAGCTGATGAGATGAACCAGGTGTGTTTGATTAATTTAGGAGACATGCTGGGGACTCCAGGAACATGGATGGGAACCACTGCACCAGACAATGACAGGGAAGTGAGATTGATCGGAAAACATCACACTGATGTTTTCATCCACATTGTAAGAGTTGACTTAAACACCATAGCACTCGTTTAGGCTCTTAATACTATTAGGAGGGAAGAATTCTCAGTTCTCAATGCTTCTCCTTTCAAACACTTTTGATTCATTGAATTGTTAAGGATATACATGAAGAAATAAGAGCCAGATGTTGTTCTTGAATGGTACCATACACAAGTAGTTTTATTAATTTAAAAGTGTTACTCCTGAATGTTAAAGATAAGCATCCTTTTACAGTCACAGACATGTTTTCATTATTTAATACATTGATCTACGACAGAAATGGTAAGAACTTCACTGCAGCAAGTGTGTTTTAGTGAAGGACACATTCAGTCCTGAGGGCAAACCATGAGCTGAGGAGCCACTCTGGAGCATGAATCTCTCTAGCGGCAGGTATTTATTATGTATTAAGGACTTTAAATGTCTTTTAAGTTCAGTCATTTTGCTGAAACTCCTCCCGCATGGAGGGCAGTGATACGGCTTCACTTCACTGTGAACGATCTCGTGTGATTTCAGGTGATATGGCAAATTAAAACCCTTCCCGCACTGAAGACAGATGAAGGGCTTCACATCAGAGTGAGTTTTTAAGTGATTATTGTAGTATGTTTTACTTCTAAAACCCTTCCCGCACTGCTGGCATGTGAACGGCTTCTCTCCGGTGTGGATTTTCACGTGTCCTGAAAGGCTTGTTCTGTGTGTGAATCTCCTTCCACAGTGAGTGCACTTGAACGGCTTCTCTCCAGTGTGGATTCTTACGTGATCGGTAAGGCTTCCTTTGTATTTAAACAGCTTTCCACAGTGAGTGCAGGAGAAAGGCGTCTCTCCGGTGTGGATTCTCATGTGTTCCATCAGGCTTCTTTTACACGTGAAACTCCTTCCACACTGACCGCAGGTGCACGACTTTCTTTTTTGTGACACTTTCTTTTTAGAAGAGTTTTTATTCAGTTCTTCTTCACTTTCCTCTTCACTCAGTTCTTCACTTTCCTCTTCAACTTTACTTATTTCTTCGCCTTCCTCTTCCCATTCACTCTGTTCTTCACTTTCTGTTTCAGCTTCACTCGTTTCTTCACTTTCCTCTTCCATCAGGTCTGAAAAGAAAAAAAAAATAGGTTGAAAATGCCATTTTTTACATACTTTAAATGTTAACATTCTCATATTTTAGCTTACAAAAAACATTTTAAACATATATTTATTCCATAGCAATACTGTGATGCTAAAATACTACACACAAACAAACAAACTGTCATAACTGAAGACTACATGGTAGAAAAAGAAAATAATTCAGTTATCCAATTCATTGCAACTGATGGAAATGGACAGAAAGAGATTAGACTTAAAGAGACAGTTCAGCCAAAACTGAAAATTGTCATCATTAGCTGGCATGTCGTTCCAATGCTGAATGAGTTTTCTTTCTTCTGTCGAGTGTAAATGAAGATATTTTGAAGAATGTTAGTCAGCAAACAGTTTCAGTTCCCATTGACTTCCACTGGATTATTCATCCTTACAATGGAAGTCAATGAGAACGAACTATTTGGTTATCAAAATTCTTCATAAAGTCTTGTGTTCATATTCCACAGAAGAAAGTCTTTCCGGTTTGGAAGCACAATGATCACTGTCCCTTTAAAAGAGTCTTTATCCTGTGGCTCCCTCTCCTGGACAACAGCAGTATTACAGACTTCACCTGTCAGTAAAAACGTCTGATAATATTTGCTGTTTGTGGAAATACATGAACATAAATAAGCATGTCTGTAGTTGCAGAACATAATATGCATGCTGTCCAGCTTGATCAAGGATGCTTACACTTGTTCAGTCTGTTTGGTTATGTGCCAGTCAGAAATCATTGAGGCCTCGGGGCAGAGACGACACCACAGTTAACCACAATATACCCAGAATTTGAGATATGGGGCGAAAATGTCAAGTTTCTGATTATATTCTTTAAATTTAGTTGAATTATTTGTTTGCAGCTGTTGATGAGCTGTTGTTTTAGTCATATAAATTATGGTTTGCAAAGAACCCATTATTTTTTTTGGGGGGGGGGGCATGTTATTTTCCCTGTAAAATTACTAGCTAACTGTACTATATTGTGCACTTTAATACTTTAATATCCTTACATAATGTATAATTGCTTTATGTTATATTATAATACATATCATTTATTTATATAATAGGGAACAACGGGGCTAAAGCACACCTTAAGAAAACATGTGCTATTCACTGCGCCTAAAATGTATAATTGCAGAAAAATATACAGTATATATGTTTGTATAGAACATTAATGGAGCAACAGATGTTGTGTGAAAATAAATCATACGAGTTGTTTATTTTGTTTAAAAATCTTATAAATGTAAAAGTAAAAGACACACAGTATTGATACAAATACTTTATAATGTCTAAGTTAATACTTGTTCAAAACAATCACTTTAGCAAAGTGTGCACTATTT